ACGTGCAGCAAACTCCAGAATGTCAGAGTACAAAGCTCCTCTTGTCATTCCCATTCTTGTTTACAACCCAGCAGCAGCTCAGGGTGCAATTTCATCTTACTCTCAGAGCAGTCTGAGGCATCGCTCCTGCAAGGAGCAGCCCGTGTCTCCTCCTCCCCCTCCGAGGAAGGGCTGCCTGTGAGCGGATCCAGGGACAGGATGGAAGAGACAGGGCAGGGAAATGCTGGCTGGGAGCTCTCAAAGTTCTTCCTGAAACATTTAGTGAAGATTAAATCACATCAAACACAATTTGCTATTTGTCCTGGCCTCCATGACTCGACTAAAAGGTGTGTAACTCAGCCTCCAAATTGCTGTAAACTAAATCAAAATATTAACAAGTTTTAAAACACCTTTCCCTAGGAATTCTTCATCTTTCATTCCCTTGAAGTGTTTGTTTTGTAATGCAAAATACAAAGCAACGTTTGCTTTGTAATGTTGCAAATAAACTCTCTGATGGGACACGTCTGAAAGGCTTGATGGCCAACAAATTTAAACACCTACAGAAACCTCATCCCCAGAAATACTTCTTGTCACTTTTTTTTGTAAGAGATGCATGAAATCTGAGAATTGTAGACCAAATGTGTACACTTGTACTATTTCTACACATTGATTTTATTGTTTTATTGGCAGTGCTGAGATATACTTATCAAATGGAGTAATATTCAGTCACCTGATTTACTAGATGAGACACATTAACTGGCATAGTTCACATTAAAAAGCTGTCTACATACAACTTTTAATTTTGGTGGTGTAGTAAAAATGACAAACCCTAATTGTGGTCATATTTCTATTACTATCATGGTGCTTTTTACAGGCACGGTGTATTTTGGATGAGAAGAGAAGCCACACATCCCTATAAGGTACTATTTTATCAACAGAATAGTTATTACACTAAGGTTTCTTTAAGAAAATGAGACATGAGGGGGAAAAGTCATACATTTAATCTGAAAAATGCAGAATGTAAAAGCTGAGCCTAAAAAATTCCAAGTGAGAAAGTTATGATTCAGGGAATTCAGGTATCTTTCTCCCACTGAAGGATCCAAAGAAAATGTCATTCAGCCATCACCAATTCTGGCCAAGATACTGGGAAGATGATACAGGACACACAACAGCCATTTTACCTGAGTTTTACCTTCAGAGATTTACAAGCTCATGAATAGCATGTGGAAGATTTTCAGTTTACTCCAGTCCACAAGCAACTGAAGGTAGGCTATGTCTTACATAGTTAAAAAAGTTAATTTAAAAATCCAGCTCCATGAACAAGAGCTGTATTTTCTTTACTCCTCAGAAGTATTTATGAGAATTGAGATGGTCATATTTTTACTGGAATTCCAGGAAATTTGGCCCTTAACCTCCACAGCTGAAGGACTGTACTCAGAGTTATGTCTTGGTACAGAATAAACAAATTCCTTTTGGTTATGACAGAGTGTGGCAGTGATTAGAAATCACTAACTCTGCTGCTTTTCCTTCCATGGCTCATAATTTACATTAAAAGGGGCTCTGTGACAATATTTACTGTCCCAAGTACTCTGTTTTTTAGAAGTGCTCTGAAGATACTCACAAATGTGTCCAGAGCAGTCTGTGAGGGGGTGGATGGGACACTCACTGTGCCCTGTGTCACAACTGTCCCTGCAGTAACCACTTGTCAGAGGTTGATGAGAATGAATTGCAACCTAAATTGTTACTCACACTGTTCACTGAGGTAGGATAAACCCTGGAGATTAATGCTGCCAGACAAAAAAGGGAAAAGCATTTCTTCCTTTGTAAAGAATGTCATTTACTTGTATGCAAATTACTACCAAAGAAAAATTTTTGTGGCATTTAAAAAATCTATTTTTGGACAAAGGATTTTTCATGTCTTTTCATCACAGAGTACATGGAGAGAATTTGCACAAGAAGGATGTGGTGTTTCACTACAACTCAGAGGGAAAACCCCTCAACAACCAAGGCCAGGGGATTTTAAAACTTATATTTGTGATGAACAGCAAGACTGATGAACTGATGGGGGTGGACATGGAAGGAGCTTAGGAAGACTGAAGACTCGCCCAACACTTTCTCTCCTTGTTCACAAAATATGCCTGAACTGTTCCAGAACAGCAAAATACAGAAACTAGTCAATAAGAAAAGACAACAAATTTCTTTTTATTTCACTGCTGATTGAAAGAAAATATAGGAGAACAGGTGTCTTTAATATTATCAGTAGGGAAAAAATGGAAACACTACAGTACAAAGACTAATATTAAACTACAACAAATATTTGGGAAGGAACCCCCCCCTGCACACAACACCTATTTTAAAGCAGAGCATATTGCAGTCTTTCCATAACTTTGCTGCTTCTGAAGACTTTTGCTGCTTTCTGAGGATCTCAGATCATTACATGAGACAGATTTCAAAATGAAGGCGCTCAGTTGCTCAAAAGTTTAAGGAGAGCTGAAATTGTTGCAACTGCAGCATGTGACTCAGAGCACAGCCCCTCCCAGTGCAGAGCAAACCAAGAGCTGATTACAGCCCAACTTCCTCTCCCCTCCGAGTCCACACTGGGTCACACACTGAAGTTAGCACCATTTTTGCAGATAAAGCAAATTTCAAAACCCTGAAAGCTACAGAGGGCTGGTTTTTAACAGTAACTGCTTCACATCCTGAAGCTCAAAACAACTTCAATACAGTAAGAAAGCTCAAGGCTTTCTGCCAAGCTGTCCTTTTAAATCCACAGGTTGATCTACGATCTACCCCTAACTAATTTTGAAGTAAGTGTGATCAGCCATCACTACAAAGATGATCAGAGCACTTAATTCTCTGTGTGCAAGTATTCTCTAGCATCACACACAAAAACCTCCATGAGCTCAGAAAACCTAATTTCTCAGTAATATCCAGCTTTTGCTGATTAGAGGGCTCTCAGTGATGGACGTGGCAGAGTTATCACCCTGGCACTTGGAACCTACACATGGGAACAGGAGGCACAAAAGTTCACATTTATCACTGAATGTACAGCACAAAAAGGACTTTGGGAACTTCCTAAAAGCTGCTGCCTGCTTTATATTCAATAAGAATGCTAAGGTGTCCTAAAGGGTAAGTTACCTTGAACACTGAAGCAGAATCAGGGGAGCTCACAAGTGGTGAAATCCCCAAGGAATCCTGGTCTGGCTCTGCAGCTGAAAACTCCAGAGGTTCTAATTTGTGACATCTCCCTGCAAGCCCCTCCTGAGAACATGTAAATGCCAGCTCCTGAAATGGTCATGATTCAGTCACGATGGGTGGACCTTCCACAGGTAAACAAAATATTCTTTAGAAATTACAACTCTACATCATGTGGGTGAAGCATGTGGGTGAGAGAATGGATGTAGGACTCCCTCCACCCAAGAGATGGCCACATAATTTGGGGTTTTTTGCTAACAAGGTTTATAAAAACAGTTGCTTAAATTTGCTCCAAACTTCCCCTCAAGAGGATCAGCATAACACTGGTGGAAAATTTTAGTCAGAGCACTTTGTCAGTTTGAGCAAAGTCAGAACAGAACACTAAACCTACACATAAAACAGTACTAGATTTACCTGCAGTGTGCATTTACCACTCCTGATTTAACATCAAAAAGACTTCCTGTACAAAAATACATTTTAAAAAATCTAGTTTCACATTATTTATCTAAGGATAAAATATTAATTTTAATTTAAATATTCAGTGTATTCACAAAAAGCTCTGTTATTGTGTAATTCATCACAATCTCTTCTTGTATGTACAGCCTACCTACCTCTTACTTCCACTGGGAGTCCAACTACGAAAAAAAGGAAGAGCTACTAAAGCAATTGCTATTTAATTAAGATGAGCTTACTCAGTACACACACATTCCACAATTATTTCCTGTCTAATAGTAACTCCTTGGAGTTATTATTCTGTTTATTTACACGAGCCTCATCCAATCTGAACATAAGATCAGCTTGGATTTTACAGAGGATTATAGCAAGGTTCTTTCTGACAGCTATGACCAGGTAAAACACCTTCCACAACCTTCTGCACAGGCACAGCCCACCACTGAGGATTTCCCCACCTGGCTGTGAAATGTACCTCATCGTTCTGATGAATAATCCAGCCCAAGAGTGCTCGGAGCAGCAACGCCACGCTTTGTTTACAGAACCACAGAATGGGTCAGGCTGGAAGGGACCACAGTGGGTCATCTGCTCCCACCTCCCTGCTCCAGCAGGGTCATCCCAGAGCACACAGCACAGGGTTGTGTCCAGATGGTCCTGGAATATCTCCAGTGAAGGAGACTCCACACTCTCCCTGGACAATCTATCCGGTGCTCGGTCACTGCACAGGAAAGTTCTTATGTTGAGGTGGAATGTCTGAGCACCGGGTCCCAGCCACTGCCGGGCACCACCGAGCAGAGCCCGGTCCATGCTCGGACCCGTCCCTTTCTGGACTGACAGACATCGATGATGTTTGGTACCTGCCTGCACTCACACGCGGGGACCTCGCTGGGGGAGACGAAACGCGCTCTCCCTTCCAGACACAGCGGGAGGAGCCGTGTCACCGAGCCACGGCCCTCCCGGCGCCTCTCTTGTTCTACAGCTCGGGAAGAGCCCGGAGCCGCCGGCGGAGGGGAAGCGCCGGAGCGCCGGTCCCTCACAGCCCTCGGGCGGCCGGTCCTTCTCACACCGGTGCCTGGTATCCCTCACCCCACCGGTCCCCAGCGTCCCTCACACACCGGTCCCTCACGCCCTGGGGCGGCCGGACCCTCGCGGCCCTCACGCCCCGTAGCAGCGGGTAACGGGCTCCTGAGGCGCCGCAGCCCGGAGAAGCCGGAGGATTGCGCGCCTCTTCCCGCTCCGCCTCTCCCCGCCTTCCATCCATCCATCCATCCATCCATCCATCCTTCCTTCCTTCCACCGCTGCCGGTCGCGCTCATGCGCCCTGAGCGCTTCCCCCGCGCCTCCCCCTCGGGGCTCGGGCCCAGGCGGGGCGGGCGATGTGGCGGCGGCGGCCGCGGCACCTCCCGCCCGCTCCGGGCGCCTGCGCCGCGCCCCGCCAAGGACGGGGGGAAGAGTTTCGTAACCGGCGCATGCGCGCGGGAGCCGCATCCCCGCTCGGTGGAGGAAGGGGGGGGAAGGAGGAAAGAGAGAAAAAAAAAAAAAAAGGAAAAAAAAAAAAAAACCACCTCAGAGTTACGTCAGGAAAAGACGGATTTGTGCTCGGGGAGACCCGCGCGGCGCGGGGAGCCCCCGGGACGGGCGCGACACGCGGGCGCTACTCACCCTGTCCGCCGCCCCCCCCTGCTCGCCCCCCTCGGCGCCTCCGCTCAGGGCTCAGCCCGCGCTGCCGCCGCCGCCGCCGTGATTCCATCCATCTTGAATTTGACGTCATCCCACAACCGAGGGATGAGGTCATCGCGGGGAGCGCTCGTCACGTGCGCGGCGCCGCGATTGGCCGGGCCGGGGGGG